GGCGGGGAGTTATTAATTAGTTGTTGTATAGTTGTTTGTTGGAGTAATTATAGAATGAGACGATAATTATTAGTGGATTGTTGGTGTAATAATTTGATTAGGAAAAAAACGGCATTGAAAATAACTAAATTATATTAAGGGATAAGTGTGTGTGTGTGTGTGTGTGTGTGTGTGTGTGTGTGTGTGTGTGTGTGAGTAATTACCTCTGGCTCGACAAGAGTGTGGTAGTATTTTTAACTTGGTGGTGATGGCGGTGGTGGTGGCAGTAATAGTGGTGGTGATAATGATGGGGCTGGTAGTAGTGGTGATTGTGGTTGTAATAGTGGTGGTGATAATGGTAGAGGTAGTGATGGTGATGGTAGTGATGGTAATGGTATAGTGATGGTAATGGTAGAGGTAGTAATAGTGGTGGTAGTGATGGTGGTAGTGATGGTGATGGTGGTCATGTGGCGGTGGCAAGGTTTTTGTTCAACTCATTAGTGAGTGCAGATGCCTCTCCCTTCCTCTCCCCTCTCTCTTACATCACACCCTCACTTCCCACATCATACCTTGACTACCCTCCCTCCCCTCACCCCCTACCCTCCCTCCCTCACCCCTTACCCTCCCTCCTCACCCCCTCCTCCTCCCCTCCCTCCCTCACTCCTTCCCTCCCCTCCCCCTCACCCCCCTTCCCCCTCCCCTCACCCCCTTCCCTCCCTCCCCTCACCCTCCGTCCTCCACATTTCCCTCCACACTCTTTCTTCTTCTATAAACTCTCTTCCATTCTCGTTGTTTCTCCTTCTGATCATAAATCCTCTCTTTCATCTTCTTCTCTTTACGTGTGATTCTCTCTTTATCTTTCTTTTCTTTCTAATCTTCTTTTTTATCTTATTATTTATGTGTTCCCGTTCTTGAGTCATGGTGCTAATATACGTAAACAGACACAGACAGACACAGACAGACAGACACACGACAAAACAAACAGAAAATGACAACAGACTCATATTACTGGTCGACTTCGATAATAATAATAATAATAATAATAATAATAATATCAACAATAATAATAATAACAATAATAATAACAATAACAATAATAATAATAATAATAATAATAATAATAATAATAATAATAATAATAATAACAATAACAATAATAATAACAATAATAATAATAATAATAATAATAATAATAATAATAATAATAAATAAGAATGTCATGTACCCAACAACTCCTCCTCCGTTTACTACGCATTTTTATTTTTTTGTCTCCCTTTCTCTCTCTCTCTCTCTCCTCCCTTCCCACTTTGTCTTTCTCTCATTAAAGTCATTTATCTCTCGCGTGATACATCTTGTGTCTGTGTGGCCGCGAGACAGTAAAGAGTAAGTAATCCTCAGTGAGTTAATTCTTTCGTCTGTTGGAGCACAAGTGGGTAACTAACCAACCAACAGTCCATGATAATTATACTTTCTATGTATTTAATCAACGCCATACACTCATTTATTTCATTAATTATCTTTAATAGTAACTCTGGGGGTTATATTTCACTCGTAGGATTAATTGGAATGATTTTATTAATATATTTTCCCTGATGAACCGATTAATTGTAAGCGCCATGCCTAAAATGTCAAGAAACTGTTTTGAGAATTTTACACCTAAGTCTTTCTCCTGACGAATATATTCTCAAGTCAAGCTTTTTCTCGATTAAGCTTCCGGTTATCGCTAGGAGTATGTATGAATATGTATGAGATAATAGCATAAACGGCGGGGAGAGTAGGAGAGTTGAGATGAGGCCAAGTAGGTTAGTGAGGGCATGAGAGGGGTGCGACACGATACCATGGTCGCGGTGGAATAGAGTAGTCTCCCCTTACAGTCCCTCTTCCCCCACCCACCCGACCCGACCTACTCCTCGCTTGTAGTAATTTGTAGCGTCTTGTAGGACCTTGTTACTTGTCTCCCTGGTATGGCCATGGCCTCGTGACTAATGAGGAAGCGCCCAGGCTGCATGACGAATTCTAATGAGCCTTCGTCATGACCTAATGAACCTCATATGACCCATGGCCTATGACCCTACCTAGGAGACGTAATGTGACCGAGGCTCGATATTTTCTGCGACAAGACGATGGACTATAATGTTTCAAGTGTTTTATAGAGTATGGTCTAAGAGGTGAAGAAAATTAACTAAGATAAAGGGGATTATTATTATTATTATTATTATTAGTATTATTATTATTATTATTATTATTATTATTATTATTATTATTATTTTTATTATTATTATTATTCTCTAAATTAACCATATACTCATCTCCTCTATTTCATTATTTTATATTCACTTTCACTTCACACCCTATTTATCATTATTTACATTTGCAAACTATTACATAATTCATTACTCCTCTAAACGTAATTATTATTTTTTTTCTTATTTTAATTAAGCCACACTAATTAAGCTTTCCTCATTACTTACGCTAATTATCATTTCTTAAAAAAAAAAAAAAAAAAACGACGCTAATTATTTTTTTTCATTTTACGTAACTTTAAGGTCAAGAAACTTTAGTACACTGTAAACAACTGATAATGGGGGCCATCTTGTTCCTGTTTTCCAATGTCTATTATAGGAATTTAAATTATCATATGTGAGTAAATAAATTCCATTGTTTATTTGATTTTTGTTTTCCATCTTTTGTTTACTTTAGTTTTGTTTACTTTCTTGTCTTTTTCCTTCCTTCATCTTTTAGACATTTTATTTTTATTCTTCTCCTTTATTTCCTCCTTCTATAGTTAATCTGTCCTATCTCCATTCCCTTTCTCTTTCTCTTCTATCTCCTTTCTTTCTCGTCTTTTGTCTCCTTTCCTCTCCTCTTTTTATCTATTTTCTCGACTTTATTCCATTTCTCTATATCCTCTCTCTCTCTCTCTCTCTCTCTCTCTCTCACATGGTGGGGTAAGTGATCCTCTCATTATAAAGTAATTATGACGCCTCACTTCCACCACCCACTGTTCTGCCCTTAACTACCCTTTACCCCTTACTCTTTACCCCTTACCATTTATCTCTTACCTACGCTTTACCCCTTAACCTTACCATTTACACCTTGCTTATCGTTTTCTCTTACAGTACACCCTCCCTTAACTACCCCTTACTCTCCCCTTATCACACTACCCCTTTTACCCCCCTCCACCCCTTCCTCAGTGTCAAATATATTTCTTCTTCTTCTTCTTCGTCTACCTTTCCCTCCCCTCTTCTTCCTCCTTCTCCTACCTTCTTCTTCACCTCCCCACCTCTACCATCACTACACCCCCCTTCTCCCTTCCCTCACCACTACCTCCTCCTCCTCACCACTCACCTCCTCCTCCCTCCTCACCACTACCCTCCTCCTCCCTCCTCACCACTCCCCCTCCTCCTCCTCCTCACCACTAACCCCCTCCTCCTCCTCACCACTACCCCCTCCTCACACCACTACCCCCCCCAACAACAAAAAATCAGGTAATATATTTGTTTTATCATTGTTTAATTGATCAGGTGATGTTACATATGCAGTGAACTAGTGCTCGGGTATTTAGCGCTGAAAGGTTAATTTGTTTACAGAATGGCATTGGCCCTTATGGGATGGAGGGGGGGGGGGGACTAAACTGAATCAATCGACACTCAATGATGCCTAAACAAAATCTATTTAAGTATATATAGATTAGTCTAACTCTCTGTATTTTTCTGGGTTTTTTTTCTCTTTCTGTGTCTCTTTTGTCTCTGTCTCTCAATGTATTTAGTCACACATTCATAATATTCTCGACTGGGTCATACATACATACATACATACATACATACATACATACATTTACACCTTAATAAATTTATAAACAAAATCCCAACATACTTTCCCCCTCATTCAATTTACTCAACAAAATACTAAATGGAATCGACTTTGAACATTGGTTATGACAGCAACACGGAATTATTGGGATCATTATTTCGACACAACATACACAACCACTTTTACAAATACAACTTTATTTTATGTAGTGAGTGTGGTGTAGAATAAGCTGTAGGGATCAGTGTAGGTAGCCAGTGTGTGTGTGTGTGGGTGTGTGTGGGTGTGTGTGCGTGTGTGTGTTGTTAGATGGTTTAGTTCTGGGTGTCGTGGCGACCTGTGGTGTAATGGTCAGCATGCTCACCTCACAAGCGAGCGGACCCTGGTTCGATCCCCGGGCAGGGTAAAACTATGGGCAGGTTTCTTTACGCCATTTGCATCTGTCTCCCCAGCAGTAATTGGGAACCTGGATGTTAATGGATTTATGGATCGTGTTCTGGGGTAATGGTTAGCCAGTGCAGTTGGTGAGTTGTCCGGTCTTCTCGGACTATCCCTTAACACTGGGTCATGCAGCTCGTTAACTCAGGGTGTGGTTGTGGTGTTGGCGACAGCTTCTACATCTTAAACAAATTCACGCCTAGGTGGCCCTTGGGCCGGCCATCTTCGTACAAGAGAGGCAGCCATTATTAGTTTTAGGTATGGCTAGAGTCGTGGTGCTATTATACCATTTCTATTAGTACTACTACCACTCCTACTACTACCACCACCACCACCACAACTACTAATACCACTCCCATCACCACCACCCCCACTACTACTACTACTACCAGTCTACCACCACCACCACCACAACTACTACCAGTCTACCACCACCACCACCACAACTACTAATATTAATTCTACCACCACCATCCCCACTACTACTACTACTACCAGTCTACCACCACCACTTACTACTAGTCTACCACCACCACCACCACCACTACTACCACAGTCCACTAACACCACCACCACCACCACCACCACTACTACCAGTCTACCACCACCACCACCACCACCACCAGTCTACCACCACCACCATTACTACAACTATTAGTACTAACAACAACAACAATAAAGGGTTAGGAATGAAAATGCCATAATTATCAAAGAACATATATATATTAATTTTTATGTACACAGGAACATTTTAAGTGTATGATGACCGTCACTCAGGAAGCCATTACTTAACTTACTTTGTACACAATATACATTACACAACTCGTCGCCATTTATATATATACATATATATTTATTTATTTATATATATTTTTGTCTATATAAATTTCTCTTTAATAAGTGTGTTTAGTAGTGATAAGGTTGATATGTTTACATCTTTTTAGTCTTTCGAGTGTGTGTGTGTGTGTGTGTGTGCGTGTGTGTGTGTGTGCGTGTGCGTGTGTGTGTGCGTGTGTGCGTGTATGTGTGTGTGTTACGCTAAATAAGGTCAATTATCGTTTATCCATAACTTCTGTGCCCTTCTCTTTTTTTGAGGGGGGGAGGACTACTGACTGGCCAAAAACGATCATGTAGACCATAAAAATATATATAAATGAATAGTTTAATACAAAACCTAACGTAACCTAACCTCACTTCACCTCACCTAACCTAGCCTTCCTTAATTAACCCACATTAACTATGATTTGGCTCCTATGGTAAACAACGCCTCAAATGAACCAGAGAAATTTTACCATAAAAGAATTAATTTCCATTGAGTTATAACATAAACACAATAATTTATCCTTATTCGGCCAAACCTTCTGTTGATTTTTAAGGCTTCATCGGTAATTGTCCCCGTTTAGTGTGCGCGTATATACAACCTAACTTTATAAGATACATACTGGTATAAACTTATAAACTGTACTGTATATGCGCCTTTTATTGGTTATGTTACATGTGTTGGGCTGTGTAAACATATCTTTGTGAAATATGTATGTTTTACCTGTAAATGGTGTCTATTATATTCATGGATGGGTGTGTGTATACATTATACATATTTAAAGAATGCATAAAATGTATTTGACCAATGCATGTATTAAGCTTATGTGTAGTGAACCATAGGAACGATAGGGGTGATATAGGTCGAGTATGTGGAGGTAGAGTGGAGGTCACACAGGTCAGGGGTCAGCTGGTGGGAGGGCGGAGGTCAGCTGGTAAGAGGGCGGAGGTCAGCTGGTAAGAGGTAGTGTGATACGAGAGGTCAAACTCAGTGGGGCGACAAAGTAAAGTCAGGACATAGGGATGGGATCAGGGGTTGTCTCGGACTAGTTAAGGGGAGGTCAGGGGGAAGGAAGGAGAGTTAAGGGGGTCAGCGAGCGAGGTGGTGGAGGTAAAGGGCAGCGAGGGGGGTGTGGGGGGGCAGAGGGCCGCGGTAAGAGAGAGGGGCGGGGCAGAGTAAGGGCGGGGGTGGGGGCGGTAACAGTCCCCCGTGGTAAGAGATGGGCGGGCTTGGCGGCTGTGTGGGCGTGTTGACGTCACATCCGGGGTTCTGCTTCTTCCACTTGGTTCGACGATTCTGGAACCAGATCTTCACCTGCGTCTCCGTCAGGTTGAGCGCCAGGGCCAGGTTGAGTCTCTCACACACACTCAGGTATCTCGTTTGCTTGAATTTGTTCTCCAGGGACACCAGCTGCTCGTAGGTGAAGGCGGTCCTGGCTCGCCGGGGCTTACCGCTCCCTGACCCGCCCCCAGGGCCTCCCCCGCCCCGACGGTGGCCCTCCGGGGAGCTGCCCTCTCCCTTCATCCCGCAGCGGCCCTCACCCTCGTCCCCGGAGTCCGAGCACACTGTTGGAGGAGGACCTGGTTAGTGAGGTAGTCGGCTGACACACACACACACACACACACACACACATATACATACAAACGTAAATAACCTGCTGGAGGTGAATAATAATAATAATAATAATAATAATAATAATAATAATGATAATAATAATAATAATAATAATAACCAAACATCCAAGTAAACACGAGGACTATTTTCAATTTCTCCAGTTCGCTTTATTGCTCTGAGGCAGTGTGTGTGTGTGTGTGTGTGTGTATGGTGAAGAGGTCCATCACCATTCTCAAAAAGAGGAAAGGGAAGGGAAGGGTAGGGTAGAGGGAAGGGTAGAGGGAGGAAGGAAAGGGTAGGGAGGGAGGGACTCACCCATTTACCCTATTGACATAAGACGGATGGTGAGAGTGTATGGCTCCACCACCACTGTTGTCATCAGCTGTCCTGTCCTGAGAGCAACAGCAGACAGTCCCCCCCCCTCTTCTTTGTTTACTTATCTTTCTATCTCATTATCTGTCTATCTTTATATCTGTCCCTTTATCTATCTGTTTATCAATATATATATATATATATATATATATATATATATATATATATATATATATATATATATATATATATATATATATATATATATATATATATATATATATATATCTTTTTCATCTGTTTAACTATCTATTTATCCGTCTTGTCATTTATGTGTCTATCAACCTGTGTAAATATATATGTTGTGTATGTACGTATGTATGTATGTATGTATGTATGTATGTATCTGTCTTATACGTGTCTCTTTATCTGTCCATCAATCAATCTATTTATATATCTATCCTTCTATCTATCTATTTCTCTGTCTGTCCCTCAGTAGTCGTCCACCTCACCACAGAAGGACTATTTAAGTAAACATCACCACTGGCCCTCGTATGGGATTCAACACCTCGCGGCGGTGATTCAAATACCCACCCGAGTACCGACCAATACTGCAGTCATTAACACCAGTTGTCTGTGTGTGTGTGAAGAATGGTTGTCTTGTCGGGTATTCCTCAACCATACTCTATATGAGGGACGAGCAACACTAAACCGTTTCGGGATATAATTAAATCTTGTTTTATTGATAAGATTCGAAATATCTAAATCTGAAACTTGAATGAAACAACGAATTAAGTCTAGAAAGTTTCATTTTGTGTGTTTCAGTGTTTCATTATGTTTATTACTTTATATCCCTGAGGGTAATACGGCACTGTATACCTTGGCTAAGATTCGAACTGGGGTGTTCGAAGCATCGTAATGGTCGGTCGAACATAAATGGTTCATACGTACACACGTTTGTACTCGAGTGAGGTGTGTTGCTTTGATCACTGTTGAGAGATGATTAACCTCCTTTGTTGTGCACCCCCCTCCTCTCTCTCTCTCTCTCTCTCTCTCTCTCCCCCCTTTTCTTCTTATCTATATGTTTCTTTCCTATCTATCTATCTCTTTCTCTTTATCTCTCTCTCGTTCTTTATTTGTTCATAACTCTCTCTCTCTCTGTCTCTAAACCAAAAACTTCCAAAAATGTATAAAAAAAAACCCGCAAAACCAACCCATATTTAAACCATAAACCATACTATTTAACCTAATTACGATAACAAAAACCCGCATCAATAAAACCACTTGACCTAACTAGCTAAAACCGCTTAGCAAACCTCACAACTCACCCCCCACCCACCCACACCCACCCCACACACACATCCACACGGTCTACACACAAACACAAATCATCAAAAACTTTAATTTGCATATGAACGATAAAATTTAGTGAGCTGTGGTGAAACACGAGCTAATAAGTTAATGATATGTTGTTCCCGGCGCTAAAAAAAATCTCACTTATTTTCGTTTGGATTTTTTTGGGGGGTGGGGGGTCGATGGGGTGGGGTTGTATTCGACTTATTAATAAAGAGGAATTATGCAAATGAGTTCAAAAGGGGATGATTAAGGGTTAGTAATTGGTAAAGCTATCTGAGGGAGTGTGATGGATGGATGGATGGATGGATGGCTGGATGGATGGCTGGATGGCTGGATGGATGGATGGATGGATGGATGGATGGATGATGATAAGCTAATCCACATCACACCACACCACCAACACCATCGCAAAACACCATCGACACCATCACACAATGCAACACCACCAACACCACCACACAACACCACCAACACCATCACACACGCAACATCACCACCTACTCTGATTACAATGCAACACCACCAGCACCGTCACACAACACAACACCACCAGCACCGTCACACAACACATCAAACCAACACCATAACACAACACAACACCACCAACACCATCGCACAACACAACACCACCAACAACATCACACAAATACACCACCAACACCATCACACACAAATACATCACCACCAACACCATAACACACACACACAACACCATCGCACAACACAACACCACACCATCACACCACCATCGCACAACACACAACACCACCAACAATACGATCACACAACACACCACCAACACCATCTGCACAACACAACACCAACAAATAAAACATCTACACACAATACTCACCAACACCATCACACAACACATCACCACACCAACACCATAACACAACACCTAACACCCTCACACAAACACATCACCACCCAACAACACTACCACCAACACCATCACACACATCACCACCAACACCCAACACACACACCACCAACAACATCAAGACACACCACCAACACCATCACAAACACCACCACCAATTGCCAACACCACCAACACCATCACACAACATGACCAACAACACCCAAACACCACCACCACCAGTCACCACATCACACAACACCAACACCAACACCATCACACAACACAACGCCAACAAATAATATAAGTACCAATTAATTTCACCTACTCACATGAAAACAACAACACCAACACCACCAACACGACTTCAATACAACACAATACCACCAACACCACCACATAATACATCACCCACCACCAAACACCCCACCAACGCTAATTCATTAGCAACATAACACCACCACATAATACACCACCACCACCATCACATAACACAACACCACCAACACCATCATACAACACAATACCACCAACACCACCACCACATAATACACAACCACCACCACCATCACATAACACAACACTACCAACACCATCACACAACACAACACCACCAACACCACCACATAATACACCACCACTATAACACCTGCAACAACACAACAGTTATCATACCGGCACCATCAGGCACTATCAGCCACGGTGTCACGGTCGTTTGGTCACAACAGCCCTGGGGGGTAATGACCGGATGCTGTAGTCTGATAGTTGCCTACAATTAATGTTTACGGCAAATATTGCTAATTGCAAGGTTGAAATATGTGGGGTATTTGTGCTGAAATTATCCCCAGAGCCGCGCAGCAACATGTTGTTGTTGCCAGTATGCAAATTGATATTGTTATGGGCGCAATAAAAAGAATAACATTTCAAGCTCTCTCGCCTCGACGTATATTACCACTAAAATGTATTAGGCCTGTTATTCATAGCGGTGATTTGCATACTATTGTATCTCTCTTTGATAGAAATGAAACATTAATTCTTTATACACTAGTTGGTATTCTGCTTTTATGTATTGATGATCATTATATATATATATATATATATATATATATATATATATATATATATATATGCATACTGCATAAATTATAGGGATCACCTTAAGTTTCGTCCCCCAACTTATATCAACTTAAGATTAATGAACTTAGCGCCAACCTAACCCAATATATACAGTATATAATGACATCATTATTCAATATATGTGCAGCTGCAAACCAAAGGCCTGTTGCCTCTTCTACTGCTCCACTAATCGCGAGATTCAGACTCGTGAATCCAAAGCATTTACGGATCTGAACTTCCGTATAATATCACCCTAGCTTTCATATAATTATCTGTTAAACTTTACTATAACAAGCATCATCTAAACTTCACTATAACAAGCATCACCTAAACTTCACTATAACAAGCATCACCTAAACTTCACTATAACAAGCATCACCTAAACTTCACTATAACAAGCATTCACTATAACAAGCATCACCTAAACTTCACTATAACAAGCATCCTAAACTTCACTATAACTTCACCTAAACTTCACTATAACAAGCATCACCTAAACTTCACTATAACAAGCATCACCTAAACTTCACTATAACAAGCATCACCTAAACTTCACTATAACAAGCATCACCTAAATTTCACTATAACAAGCATCACCTAAACTTCACTATAACAAGCATCACCTAAACTTCACTATGACAAACATCACCTAAACTTCACTATAACAAGCATCACCTAAACTTCACTATAACAAGCATCACCTAAACTTCACTATAACAAGCATCACCTAAACTTCACTATAACAAGCATCACCTAAACTTCACTATAACAAGCATCACCTAAACTTCACTATAACAAGCATTACCTAAACTTCACTATAACTAGCATCACCTAAACTTCACTATAACAAGCATCACCTAAACTTCACTATAACAAGCATCACCTAAACTTCAACTATAACAAGCATCACCTAAACTTCACTATAACAAGCATCACCTAACCTTTACTATAACAAGCATCACCTAAACTTCACTATAACAAGCATCACCTAAACTTCACTATAACAAGCATCACCTAAACTTCACTATAATAAGTACCGCCACAACTTCCGTATATACAACAATGTTTCATTAAAAAAGTGACACCTGCTTACACTGTCGTAAGAGTGAATGTCGACGGTCGAGGAGAAACAGAGTCAGAAGTCGAGGCGGAACGTCGGACTTCATAGAACGCGGGCGTCAAATTTTGGACTCTAAAGGGCGTGGCGTCGGACATCGAGGGGGAGTGGCGTCGGCCTTTAAGAGGGCGTGGCGTCGGGCGTCGAGGAGAACGGGGTACCGGACA